TGCAGCCCATTAATTCAAACAGAGCCCTGGTCTACATGCAGAAGACTTATGCTACATTCAGACCGCACGCAGCAAATGCAGCAAAAACACGCGTGCTGCTTCATTTTTATGCCTGTACCAGTTTAGTTCTGACGTGCGGCTAACGCATCTTTGCTGCTCTGGTTTCGCGGTGGAAAAAGTGAGTCTGATGCCCATATTTAACAAACTAAATATTTAGCTACCTTGGTGCTAGCTAAATATTTAGCTTATTTGCAAATTAACCTGCTGAAAAGTGGAAGTGAACTACCAAAGTAAAATCCTGGGAATTTCTATACATTTAGTATATGAAAAAAATTGTTTTATTTGGTCATAGGCATTTGTTTTAACAAAGGGGCAAATGTTTAGGCACCTTCCACAGCTAGCACTAGCACCAAGCTAGCAAAATATTTAGTTTGTTAAATAAATATTTAATTTGCAAACTAAATATTTAGTTTGTTTAATAAATATTTAGCTCCAAATTAAATATTTAGTTTTTTAATTTAATATTTAGCTTCGAACTAAACATTTGATTTTGCAAACTAAATATTTATTTGAAGCTAAATACTTTTTTAAGAAGTAAATATTTTATTGGGAGCTAAATATATATTTAACAAAATTAATATTTAGCTAGCTTGGTGCTAGTGCGAGTGAGACATCTAGAGCTGTGAACTTTTAAACCCTGCAGTTTCATCGTACAGTGTGAGCTGTAGCTGCTTGCAACGATTGAAAAGAATCGCACAGCGTGTGCACAGCTTAACAAATAGATGCATATATTTGAACAGCCGTGATTTCTAGATAAAAGCTATAGTGGATAAAATCCTTTCAGGTTTGAGTTCAATTGGTCAGTGGGGAAAATGACGCTTCTAAGCCATAGATATACTCGGCTTACATCCCACTCTGTTGTTTTTCTTCATGTCTTTACAGAGGATGCAGGGACTTATTTCCCCAGCATTAAGAAGGATCCTGGCCGTTACCTGCAGCCGTGCTCAGACTCTGTGAAGACCTGGCTGCGCAGCATGAAAACCGCTGGGAAGGTCCTCCTCCTCATCACCAGCTCCCACAGTGACTACTGCAGGCTGGTCTGCGAATACATCCTGGGGTAGGTGACTGGAATGGAGCTGACTTTCACATTTAGCTGGGGGGGGGGGTTACCATTAGGCAATACTAGGGCCCCAAGTTCCTGGGGGCCCCATAAAACTCTGTTTACATGTATGGTTAAATCAACTATTCCCTTATTTGTGCACATTAA